TTGAAAAGAAAAAAAAAGAAAGAAAGCCATGCTGTTAAGTTGAAAAAAAATATATAAATATTGATGAAAAATAAAATCCTAATATTTGGTGAAGTAGCTCAGTGACACAGCAGCTGCCTGTCAGGTGTGAGACCTTCAGTTCAGTCTCCAGAACTGCCATAAAAGCTTGAAAAATGCTCTTAAATTTGGGGAAATGCAGTAATGAAAGTCAATCAAGGTCTGCACAGTTGTGAGGTGCCCACTTCTTCTCCCTAGAGCACTAACGATGCCTCCAGCACCCTGCGTGCGTTAAGCTAATACTTTACTGTATGTGGCTCCAAAGGTGGTGTCCTGGACTAGCCCTCTCATGACGACTTTGCCTCAAGTGTGCTCCTGCGTCTGTCACCTGCCACTGTGGCTGGCTGACACTGTACAGTAGCATCACTGTAGACCTAGGACAGGACAGGCGCACAGTACACAGTACGGATGTTTCCCCAGAGGTGAATAATGAGTCACTGTCAGCTCCCCAGGTTAACAGAGATATCTCTGCTGATGGGAGAATTATTAATAGCAAGCATAACGCTGTTTGAACGGAAGAGTCAGCTACTTACTAACTAAAAGTACAGCTTCGGAGCTCTCTCCAGTTACTTACAGACCATATTTTAAGGATTAAAAGCATCATCTCAAGAGGTATGAGGGGTAGATAGTGTCACACAGATTTAAAAAGCAATTTTTGCAAACTTGGCCTTAGAGGACAGTGAAGGTCACTGTGAAGCACTTTTAAATAAGCAAGAAGGGGCTGGAGAGATAGCTTGGTGGTCCAAGTGCCTGCCTGGTCAAGTGCAAGAACCCTGGTTCAATCCCTGGTACTGCATGTCATGCTGGCCACTGAAACCCAGTGTGCTGGAGCAGGCCTGTAATCCCAGCAGTGGGGAGGATGGGACAGGAGGATCACTATGAGTCTCAGCTGCTGAGCAAGACCCTGTACCTGATAGATAAATAAATGAATAAATAAATAAATAGCAAAAAAGGATGGCAGAGATGATTGTACTCATGATTTCCTTTTGTATTTTTTGAAAATAACAGTTAATGTTTCGAATTCTCACCTTGACTAACTCTGTGTGTTGATATCTGAGAACTAAGCACCTACATGGAGGACAACAGTATGTAACACAAAACCATGATTTAAATACCTGTCATGGGGGCCTGGCCTTAGCTCAGTTGTTTAAGTGGCTGCTTCCACAAAGCTGTCAGCCTCAGGTTGCTGTAGTTCGATCCCCACAATACTCCAGCCAGCCAAACCACCCCTGACGGCATTCGGAGCAAAAAAAA